GAACTTAAGGAGAACTAGTACCGAAAAATTACTCTACGTAGGTTGGGAAGGGATCTGCGTCTTCGCATGTCAGACAGCAGGTCTGTTCAATCGTTGCTCTCCTCCAAATACATTCGCCTATGGAGAGGCTTTTCCCATCGGGCGAAGTGCCGGGTCTGCTGCGCTACAAACCGCCTTCCGAGATACTGCTTACTGGACTAGACAGAGCTGAGAATTCCGTTGCCGCGCGTGGCGCGTATTGGTGAGGCGATGTAGGTGTGGTAGGAAAAGTCACATCCGGTATCCGTTTACTTCCTTATTCAAGTACAACCAAGGTTTCGATCTATGGTCCTATAACATATAAATCTATAACCCTCCAAAATGTCGCTCTATGGCTTAGCCAGAGCTGGGTGGATGCCGCGCGTGGTGCGTGTTGGTGAGGTTATACACTAGCCACAGTTGTCATCCAGGTAGACTTCCTTAGACTAGGGCGGTTCTTACAAGGCCGCACGTTGCATGCGGTTGGTGGGAAGCCGGGCCAAAGATTCGCGCCGTTCGCGGACAATCTGTAGCCTCGATCACCTTCCAGAATGTTCGCACCTTTGCTGATCGCAGGGGGCACCTAGCGAGTCACGTGTCCGCAGGTGGCAACCCTGCCGTGGCAGGTTCGCTTGAACTGACCCCAAGAAAAAGTCTCGTCTCGGCCGGCTTCGACAGAACCTCCTTTCTTTTCCTATTACAAAAAAAATACATAGAAATACACGCCACTTAATACCCTGCCTATGCGGTTAAGTTCGTGTATTTATATTTACCAGTAGTTGGGTGCAAAAACGTAAATGATCCTCCTGTTAGTATCGACTTGCCCGGTGTACACACAATTAAACGGGAACCGAACCGCATGGGTTGTAATTTTCCGTTCTTATTCTAACTACCGCAGTAGCCTAAACGAAGTGAACGAGAACTCTTGACGCGAGAAGTTGGCTGTTTTGCTGATAGACTATATGTGTAAGCGGGTCAGCTTGTCAGCTATACTCGCTGCCTTCTGCATATGTGCATTTACATGTGTAATGACTTTCTTATAAAATTTTCTACTTTCATTTACGACTGGCCCCCACACTTCTCTGATTGATCTTTTGAATTTTGCATTTGATTTTTCAAATTCCACAATGTTATGTGTGTTTAATTCTCTGTTGAGTTTCCTCCATTTTTTTATTTTGTCTTTTTTGAGGAGAGACAGCTCGCTGTTTCCTCAGAGAATGGTGCGGGGTTGGGTAAAGGTAGAGGTTTGGGGAATGGATTGGTGGGCACTTCGAATAAGTATTTTTTTTGATAATAGCAACTTCTTGGTTGACATTTAGACTATGGATGCTTTCCAATCTGAATATCGTGATATTTTCCAGGAAAAGGTTCCAATCTGCATCTTTTAGTTCAAATGAGAGTTTTGCGGTAAAGGTTGGGACAGTTTGGTTGCGGAATATTGAGAATAATATGGGAAAGTGGTCGCTTCCATGGAGGTCTATCTAGCACTTCCCAGGAGATTTCTGGAGCTATACTGGCGGAGGCGAAGAAAAGATCTATGTGTGTGTATGTGTTGTGCGTTGAGAAATGTGTTGGAGATTTGTCGTTTGGTAATATGAAATTAGAACGGTCAATGTAGTTGGTTAAAGTTCTTCCTCTTTTGTTGGATGAGCCCCAAAAAGGGTGTCAGCTGTTAAAGTCAGCTAACACTGGGGTTTGGGCGTTCGGGGAATCAAGGATATTTGCCAAGTGGTTTGCGTTAAAGGGATTGGAGGGGGAGATTTACGCTGAAATAATGATAAATTTGGAGTTGGACTGTATGGAAACTCCGACCACATCAAAGTCTGAGCTGACGGAGATTTCGTTCTGAGGCACGAAATTGTGAATTAGAAGGGCGGTGCCTCCAAAACTATTGTGGTAATTTTTGCTGGTGTAGAGGGGTGTTTATAGGGGTAGGAAGGGAGCAACGGCTTGTAATGTGTGTTTCTTGGAAGGCAATAATTTGCGGGTTTTAGGATTTAGTAAGTACTTGCAGATCTATGTAATGGTTTCTGTAACCATGTACATTCCATTGAATAATTTTAAGCATCGGTTTTAAGTTTTGAAGTTAAATTAAGTTTTAAAGTTAGGTTAGTGTTTTTTCTAACTTATTATCTAAATTGATTTTAGTTTGGTTATATTCTTGATCAGGATCACTAGCCGAATCGATCTAGCCATGTCCGTCTGTCCGTCTGAACGCTGAGATCTGGAAGTATATGCTTTCATTTAAATTCAAACTCTTGTAGCGTAGACTCCTTGAGCGTTACTACACCATTGCAATCGGTCACCACTACAAGCTCGGATTTCTTGTTCTGCTTCCCACAGGAACTCTTGAATTTTTTCAGAAGCTTACTCAAAGATGCTGCCATCATGGTATATTCCTTGACGAACTTGCGAAAGAATCCAGTGATACCGAGAGATCTTCGTACATCCCCATCGTTTTGAGGCGTTCCATAATTGCTGATGCATATGGTTTTGTCGTAAAGTTAGTCCAGCCGATCGGATAGCATGCAGAAACTGGTTTAGAATGACAAGTCCTTCCTCAACTGTTTTCGATGGCATAATGACTTCATCTACATAACTTATTATGTTGCTTTGGTGTTCTAGATGACGTAGCAAGTTAATGATGACCTCCGGAAATACCAATGGTGGTATAATCCATAGGAATCTGGTAGTATCCTGAAGTCATGTCCAGAGTTGTGCAGTACGAGATTCTAGACTCTACAATTGGCATTGGATATCGTTTTTTCATAGTGACTGCGTTCAGAGCTCTTAGTCGATACACAATTGACTTTCTCCGTTTGCTTTCCGGACTAATATCGCCGTTAACGCGTGTGATGAGGTGCTCTTACTGATAATGTTGTGCTTGAGCAAGATATCTTACTGAGATCGGAGCGCATCCCTTTTTGAAAATGCAACTTGATATCGACGATTCTCTAATAAGCGCATGATCGCTGCCAGTATCGACAAGTGCTGGAAACTCTTTTCCTCCGAGCTGAGAAGTCTTCATTATGGGTAGATACTCTTTAGTATTGGCTGCGTCTACTTGAGGGTACCTTAACCCTGCCATCTTTAGCTTCATGCCCAACAGATTGAACATCGTGGCTTTTTCTGCGGGTCTGGACACTTAGCAGATATGTGATCAATTTGGCTACAATTAAATCATTTCGGTCCTTTGGAATTAGCCTCCCCACCTGCTACATCTTGTCCTTTCGTGTAAACAGACTGAGAAGAGGGACTGCAGTGCTTGTAACGTTTTCATATTGTTCAGAGACCTGAATAGATCTGAATATGTCTGTAGGTTCATAGCTTCGTGCTGTCGCTTTGGTTCAATCCGTGTGTAATATAAGAATTGATAGATGGCTAATCGATATTTGCTCGTCTTCCAATTGCCATCATGATGTAAAAGTATTCGCTGCATGGTTCGTTAAGTTTTCTTTTAATTCAATTCCCTGGGAACATCTACATCCGTCCAGATGCCTCTGCTGCATCTGCAGCCGTTCTGCCGTTTTACCGCCTTTGTTTTGGCCGTGTTGCTTAGCCCAATGTGGCGTTGCCGTTTTGTCAAATTTTGCAATCCTTCATTCTCCTTTCTTTGTGTATAAAATGCAGTTCCTTATATCACTTTATTGCTGTTTGGAGCTCGTATTTATTTAGGATGGTTATCAAGTATTTCTTTACAGTGAATTTAATGAAATATAAAACAAGAAAGGCAGTTAACTTCGGCAAGCCAAAGCTTGTATACCCTTGCAGTTATATTTATTAAATTTAAAAATACAAAAAATGATATTCCCATTAGTATATATGTCAGAAAACACCGAAGCTATAATTTGTTTTATATTATTTTCCCACCAATTTTCTGATTGTTTATATGGCAGCTATATGATATAGTCGTCCGATTTTGATCAAATGAAATACGAAATTCAAAACTAATTCAAAAATGTTATTTCCAAGCGTAGGAGGCTATATGTCAAAAAAACACCGAAGCTATAATTTGTTTCATATTCTTTTTCCACCAATTTTCCGATCGTATAGTTGTCCAATTTTGATAAAATTAAATTCGAAATTCAGAACTAATTAAAAAATTTTATTTCCAAGCGTAGGAAGTTATATGTTAAAAAACACCAAAGAAATAATTTCCTAAAATTTTTTTTTCCGATTATTCCTATGGGAACTATAAGATATAGTAGTCCGATCCGGCTGGTTCCGACTTATATACTACCTGCAAAAGAAATGAGAGTTTTGGGAAAGTTTCAGCCCGATAGCTTTAAAACTGAGAGCCTAGTTTTGCGTGGAAACGGACGGACGGACGGACAGACGGACAGACGGACATGGCTAGATCGACTCGTCTAGTGATGCTGATCAAGAATTTATGTACTTTATGGGTTCGGAAACGTCTCCTTCACTGCGTTTCTGCGTTTCTGACTGAAATCATAATACCCTCTGCAAGGGTATACAAATCTTGTCGGCGTGTGACACACGTCTGCCCCTATTCTAACACATTCAGATTTATATAAATTAATTTTAAAAAAGATCCGAAATTCCCTACGAAATAAGCCATTATACAGCATTAACAAGATAAAGTCGACCGATTTAAATAATTTTTTTTTTCAAAAACAAAACTTTGCTATAGAAAATCGTATTGCAATGTTTTTGGTACCAACCGACGGGAATATCGGTAAAGAATATGAATAAATTAAAGATGTACCGCAATTTTTCATGAACCATTTGACTTATTAAAGTTCTTAGCACTAAAAATTGAAGAAAATTACAATACCTTTCGATCGGTGTATTAGTTGGCTGATGATAGTAGTCTCCTTGGGCACACTTGCGGTGCGATTCGTCACTACGGGTACTGCCGTCCACAGTGATTAAATTAAAACTTATTGAGGCAAACATAGTTAAGCCCTCCTCATCAAATTATTGCAAAGCGTAATTTTTTTATTAATTTTCTTTACTTCTAGAAAACACTTGACACATTACCACTGGAGGAAATTACGAGGATACACTGAATAGGCCTTAGTGTGACCGTACACTGAAAAATTGGACCAACATTACGGTATTTTTTGTCCGTAAACCCTTTTTTCGATAAGTAAATCAATTGGAATATTGAAATGTATTACGTGAAACTCAATTCACTTTCACTCACTGTAAAGTTATAGTAATATAAAAGGAAAAGACCACTACTATAATTGGGCAGTGTGACAGTTTATGCGTCCGTGTCTGGAATGATTCTCCTTTTATCTCGCTTTTACCGTTTGTCTGAAAAATGTAGCTTGACAGGAATTAATATGTTGGATGAATACCTGCAGTGCACCAACGGTCGATAAAAATAAAAGGTTGGCATCAAAATGTCCTTAAGCAGGCGAGATTTTGCCGTGATGGAGAGTGCACACTAAGACTTCTCAGGACTAACAGCTCCATATATTCCAGCTTGAAGTCAAGGCTTCAACCTCATTTAACATGTCCTGCACCATTTCTGCTCCCTCTTCGCAGAGCACTCGTCGCCAGAAATGCAGTGTCATCTGCATTTGTTGCTGCTGGAGCCACCTGCTTCTAGACTAAGGTCCGAGGAGTAGATAAAATATTTGTCATGGACCAGCACACTACCTTGTGGGACTCCAGTGGGTATAGGCTGTGAAGCAGACTTAGACCTTCGAGCATCCATCTGAAAGGTTCTGTCATCAAGGAATGGATGAGACTAAAGTATGTTGGGGCAAGGATAGGCTGAGCTCAAAAGCCGGACGGCAGCCATCATCTAAATAAATTCCGTAACAATAAATTTTCGCCTCCAGGACATGAAAACCAAACTGATGGTCCGGAATTGCGTCCTGGAATAGATAAACACACCCAGAAAAAGAAAAAGAAAAAAATCATATACATTTTTCAATCCGTTCGCTATGTTGCATTCATACAAAACAAACGCCGCATGATTTGACCATAAACATTCAGGTTTAATTATAAACGCATCACTGAAAAATGCCTTGACAGAAATGGAGAGAACACCGTTCTCTAATTATCAACACCGTTCATGAAAACATGTATGTAGGCCTAGTGTCCCAATTGTCCGTACTTGAAAAATTCGTTTGGTGGACCAGCTGGTCCAGGTTCGAGTATGCCAGAAAAAGAGTGTGAATTATTAGTTTTATTAAAATATAATTTCTTATGTTTAAATGCTCTACTAATAATAAATAAATTCTTTGTCATCAGCATAATAGCCAAAGTACATAAATTCTAACAATACACACACAAAAGTAAGGAAATTAAACAAATCTTTTACGTACTTTATGACCCCGTTTGACTTTGATTTTTTTTTGAGTGCACTGAAAAAACTTACGCATCCAGTAATAACCGTTATTGAACACTCTTTATTGAAATTTAAGAAAATAATTCAAATACGATAGCACAGGTAGTCAAAATCAATCTTTTGGATGTTGGGACTGGAATTGGAAAAGATCTTGAAAACTATAAAAGTTTCTAGCTTTTGGATTAAATATTAAGACTCTACGGAATCCTACGATACTCACTTAAATGCCCTAGCAAAAAAATGTGCCTGGCGACCACATTTTTGAAGATTTTCTAATAGTGTAAATTGGGTTCTTTGTTGTTCAAAGGAGTAGAATAGAATATTTCCAAAATGTTTCTTAAGGCAGATCGCTTTTAGACGGACAACTATCCTAGCTTAAACACACTTCAGAGGTTTAGCTTTGACTTGCATATGTATAGTCCTTAAAGTTTGAATTGGTAATTACAAATTCCTAGATGTGCTATGCATGTATAAACGTTTTGACGCTCAGTAGATCTATTAAAGGCACTTGTTTTCGAATGAGACAAAGTCCTCTTTTACACGTGCAACGAATTGATCAACTTTAAAATCTTATATTTCAGATAAGAGTGTATGATTATATCGATGGTCATAAGACAGATCATTATACTTGGGTTACGTGATATTCATTATCTTATTAGCTTCAGGATAGTAAAAAACATGTTTGTTATACCGGAAACTACTGTAATATTTACAAATTATGAAACGTTGCTGTTAGTTTTCTGTACATCGTAAAATATGCGGCTTGGTAAAGATGTATTAGTAAAGGTGATATTAGTTATAACAGCAAATATACTAACTGTTCTACAGTGATTTACTGTAAATGTAATTTAAATGTACTGCTCACACCTATGCAAATATCACTATCGACAGGAAAATTGGTATCGAGCGTGTGTACTTTAGGATTAATTTGAACGCCGTGAATGCATTGAACTAATACGTTTAGTAAGTTCAGAAAGAGTTGATATAATATCAGTGTTTTGTAACGCTGATTTGTTTTATTGGCTTTGTTGCTGTTTTGTAATGTTAATGATGGGTAATCGACAAACTTGATCGGTCGAAGTGCAAATATATTTCACACAATCGTTGTGAAATATGGTAGCCACAGCCCTAAGTGCGCTTTTAATCGGGTAATATCCTTGAAAATGATTTCCTGAGATGCAAGAACAGCATTGATATACAATTCTTTCAGTTTTAGTAATAACTCTGTTCTCATGAGTTATAGATTTCTTGTATAAAGTTATACATAGTTATTTTATGTATCTTACATACTAATATAAATGTGCATATATGTGTGTGCATTTGAAGTGCAGTTTCCAGAGAGAGAATGCCGCTGAGACAATTCGACTTAAAATCTCTAGCACTAGATTCCATCTCTTCGCAAATATTTAAATGTTCAATATTGATCCATCAATCGTTAAGGTATTTCATATCAGTTGAATCGTGGTATGTAACATAATTGGACATTATTAAAAATCTTGTTTGACCAATAGGTAGTGGAACAATGTCCAAGAACTCGTAATGGAGTTTGTTAAATGTTGGTATTTTATTCTAAACGTGATCTTAATGCCTACCATGAATGTCACTAATTCTAGTAATTTAAAGATGTTGTCGTCGGACATTTTTTTTCTTATTAAATTGAATTCTTCCTGTGATACTGTGTGCTCAACTGACAAAAAATCAAATAATCTTTGAGCCAAATCACGTTGGTACTCTAATTTATCGGTATACAATAGATTCTTAGTAAATATACATAATTCATTTGACATACTCGTATCACGCCTTAAAAGCTTCTGAGTACCATCTGTATACACTAAGCGATATGAACTGTCAATGGTGCCCGTATCAACAGCTAAATTTGAGGGCAAAACTGTTAAGGAAAGTGCCTCTTGGTCCTCGATATCTGACAAACTACCTATAACATAATCACCCATAATATCAGTAAGTGGAAAGATGTATTGATCAAAACACTCTCGCCCCGTTGGCACTAATGGCGCAAAATTAAAACTGCCTGAAGTATCTGTAAAATCTAAGTTAATTATTTTATTTGCACCATCTTTAATCACTGATATTATCTTCTCATTTGAATTACTAAAACTATCAATTATATGAGGAATATATGCTTGATTAATAACATCAACACTAACTCTATATGCTTCAATTCCGCCTTTAATCGCATTTGCATGTGATAATTGGACTATGTCTTGATTTGATATAGTAATATGTAGTTTTGGCCATTTTGAATAGTCAACATAATGCTGCCCTTGAAAATTTAAAGCGAGTGAAACCGCACCACTAATACGAACTGCATTGATAAGTAGGAAGTAGAACCGCGGAGTTCAGTGTTTTGTAACGCTGATTTGTTTTATTGGCTTTATTGCTATTTTGTAACGTTAATGATGGGTAATCGACAAACTTGATCGGTCGAAGTGCAAATATATTTCACACAATCGTTGTGAAATATGGTAGCCACAGCCCTAAGTGCGCTTTTAATCGGGTAATATCCTTGAAAATGATTTCCTGAGATGCAAGAACAGCATTGATATACAATTCTTTCAGTTTTAGTAATAACTCTGTTCTCAAGAGTTAGAGATTTCTTGTATACAGACATGACAGGTTAAATACTTATCGCTGCCAAAAGTACATAGTTCTTTTATATATCTTACATACTAATATAAATGTGCATATATGTGTGTGCATTTGAAGTGCAGTTTCCAGATAGAGAATGCCGCTGAGACAATTCGACTTGAAGTCTCTAGCACTAGATTCCATCTCTTCGCAAATATTTCAATTTATTCATCGCGTCGCGGCAATGGTAACGATGGGTACTGCGATGCCGGACCACAGGCGATGCGGGAACTGCGCTGAGGTTGAGCTAACGTAGGTTAGCTGCTAGTTGAGATAGTGTATTATAAGGCCTATTCCCAGAGGTAGGAAGTAGAACCGCGGAGCTATGAGTTATAAGCTGTAGGTAAAGTTTGTTGGTCCCAGAAAGGAGGGTGACCCTGTAATATGTAGATATATCAGTATCTACATATTACGGGGTCACCCTCCTTTCTGGGACCAATAAACTTTACTTACAGCTTTACCAACATCTGGCGTTCATACACAAAATACACTACCAGTCATCAATAATCTGTTTCAACTGACGAAAAATCAAATAATCTTTGAGGCAAATCACGTTGGTACTCTAATTTATCGGTATACAATAGATTCTTAGTAAATATACATCTCATTTGAAATACTCGTATCACGCCTTAAAAGCTTCTGAGTACCATATTTATACTCTAAGCGATATAAACTGTCAATGATGCCCGTATCAACAGCTAAAATTGAGGGTAAAACTGTTGAGGAAGGTGCCTCTTGGTCCTCGATATCTGACAAACTACCTTTAACATAATCACCCATAATATCAGTAAGTGGAAAGACGTATTGATCAAAACACTCTCGCCCCGTTGGCACTAATGGCGCAAAATTAAAACTGCCTGAAGTATCTCTATCTAAGTTAATTATTTTATTTGCACCATCTTTTAACACTGATAATATCTTCTCATTTGAATTACTTAAAGTATCAATTATATGAGGAATATATGCTTGATTAATAACATCAACACTAACTCTATATGCTTCAATACCGCCTTTAATCGCATTTGCATATGATAATTGGACTATGTCTTGATTTGATATAGTAATATGTAGTTTTGGCCATTTTGAATAGTCAACGTAATGCTGCCCTTGAAAATTTAAAGCGAGTGAAACCGCACCACTAATACGAACTGCGTTGATAAGTAGGAAGTAGAACCGCGGAGTTATAAGTTGCGTTGATAACTGACTTATTCTTCATTTGAAACATGCTTATTACTACTTGGAACACGGAAGTTTAGTGTAATGATTAGTGAAATAAGCTATATTCTTAAGTAGGTCTTATGGTATATATGCTGATCAGCAATTCTCATCTGCAGTGGGTGCTACTGAGCCCCTGGTACTGTTCCCAACTTGGCTACTGCTTGATTTGTTGGGTGCTGGTCATGTTGAGCACCCTTGGGTACGAACATTGTTAATAATTTGTTGTTATCTATTAATGTGGTTTGTTATATTTTAAAATCTAGCTTTGATGTTGTTGTTGTTAAAATCGTCTGCCTGCTAGCCTTATTCATAAGTTCCTTCTCATTATCCGTCATCGCTTTGAAATTGTTTTCGAATTTATGGTCATCTGCCTCAAATAAGTTTCCAGTTACTATTTTTATTATGTTACCTAATTCATTTACTAACCCTCTTCTTTGTAGAGCCTTAGGTAACAAGACATTTACCCTGATCTTTAATTGCTTTATCTTTGTGTCCAGTATGCCAATGGCCTCAACGGAATATGATATTTTCTTGAGCTCCTCTACAGCAATTTCGAAATTAACGGTCGCATTGATAAACTCGCAAATCAATTTGGTGAGTTAGAATTTTGTAGGATTGTATTATTTTTGCCTGGCCTAACTTAATCTTAACTAGGAATTATTTTTATCCAGTTCTTGAACACTTAAACTCTGGGATACAATGGTGCATCTGGTAGGTTAATGGGATTAATACTATTTTTTTTCTTTTTAATATTTCTCTTAATCTTTGCTTTGTGTAATTTTTGTTTTTTGTGGAAATTAGTGTTATATCTTTGTCTTGTAGTACCCTCTGTTTGTAAAATCTAGGGGTTATTTTATTTCTTCAATTTTCTTTTCTAAAAACTTTGTTGTTTGTTTCCACTGGCAATATAACTGTCCTGTCTTTATTCATCGAGTCAATTCTCGCATTCATTATTTCTTCTATCTGTGACTTTTTTTGCGGTATAATAAATTTTGAAACTCATTTAGTTTCTGTTAGAAATCGTGTTCTGAATTCAGTTTTATATCCCTAGACAAAATGTGTGTTCTCCCTGAGAACAATTCGAAAGGTGTAAGCTTAGTCGCAGAATTTATGGAATTGTTGTAAGTTGTTAGTGTTTCATATAACATTTTCTTATAGATACAGTCCAGCTTTTGAGCTTTTGTGTTTTCGAGAACGATTCTGTATATCTCCGTTAGAGATGAATGAAGTCTCTCTACCGGGGAATTACTTGATGACTGTTGGAATGAGGTTACATGGGTCGTTTTGCCGAATTGTGCGAGGAAGTCGACAAATATCTTGCCGGAAAATTCCGACCAAAAAGACTGAAATAGTTTTTCAAAGAAAGTTTTAGTGGTCACGTCCGTTAACATCAATTTACACCTAATTAGCTTGTAGTTATAGCTATGTTTAAAATACTTTTCATATGCAATTTTTATAAGCTCAAACTCTGAGCCACCCTCTCGGAATCACTTTCCTTACACATTTCAAAGATTTATTGCAAATTGA